AGGGAATGATGCCGTGGAAGCCATCGTCCAGAATACGAAACCGCCAGAGGAGTGTAAAGTCCAAAAGGAACTTTGATGTGTTCCCCAACCTGGATTGCTTACATGAGGATACGATATCCCTATCCCCTAATTATTCTGCCCATTTTACATTGCTTTCACTTTGTGTGCTACAATCGGTCATCTGATTGAACCTTTATACCTTTCACTCCCGATCGCTGACATATTCTTGACGTTGCAAGGCCATCCATATTATTCTGTTACTGTGATACTACCCAATTCTGCCGATTGCTTTACAAGTTCAGTTCTCTTGCATTAAGATTGCAAAACCAATTCGCAAGTCGTGTACTGTATTTGATTTGCGTTGTAGAACCACGGTTACAGGATAATTCGTTTATTCTTCTGCCCAGACCGTGCGTTAAGTCTAGGTTTACTGATTCGTAGTTTCTAGTTTAGGTTTCGTACGACGTACATAGGCTTCGTATCGTCGGCACAATCATCATCATCATCATCATCATCATCATCATCATCAGCATCATCATCATCATCATCATCATCATCATCATCATCATCATCATCATCATCATCATCATCATCATCATCATCATCATCATCATCATCATCATCATCATCATCATCATCATCATCATCATCATCATCATCATCATCATCATCATCATCATCATCATCATCATCATCATCATCATCATCATCATCATCATCATCATCATCATCATCATCATCATCATCATCATCATCATCATCATCATCATCATCATCATCATCATCATCATCATCATCATCATCATCATCATCATCATCATCATCATCATCATCATCATCATCATCATCATCATCATCATCATCATCATCATCATCATCATCATCATCATCATCATCATCATCATCATCATCATCATCATCATCATCATCATCATCATCATCATCATCATCATCATCATCATCATCATCATCATCATCATCATCATCATCATCATCATCATCATCATCATCATCATCATCATCATCATCATCATCATCATCATCATCATCATCATCATCATCATCATCATCATCATCATCATCATCATCATCATCATCATCATCATCATCATCATCATCATCATCATCATCATCATCATCATCATCATCATCATCATCATCATCATCATCATCATCATCATCATCATCATCATCATCATCATCATCATCATCATCATCATCATCATCATCATCATCATCATCATCATCATCATCATCATCATCATCATCATCATCATCATCATCATCATCATCATCATCATCATCATCATCATCATCATCATCATCATCATCATCATCATCATCATCATCATCATCATCATCATCATCATCATCATCATCATCAGTCGTTAAGCCAATACCGAAAGGTGGTGACTCAAGCAAAGTAGATAACTACCGGTCGATCTGCCTGACCGCTGTATAGGCAAGAACGTCAGAGATCATGAAGAAGAGCCTAGTGCAGCTTCTCGAGTCGAAAAGCCTCTTGACACCCCCACAGCATGGTTTCGTGAAAGGTCGCTCGTGCATCACCAACCTACTGTTGACGAGGCACAAGCGCTGAACCAAAGCAAATCGGTCGACGTCATTTACATTGACTTCAGTAAGGCTTTTGACAAGCTAAATCATGCAGTGCTCCTCGACAGGCTGAAAGTTTGCGGTGTTGGCGGCTCGCTGCATTGATGGACCAGGAATTCTCTTGTTGATCGAAAGTGGAGCGTCCAGGTGGAGAACATCATCATCATCAAACACGTTAGCTAGAGGTGTAGAACACCTCAGCTACTGTGCCGCAATACACAGAGAAAAGAAGAAAAAAAGCAATTGGTGCAAGCCGGCTGAGCTACCGGTAACGGATGGGCATCGTTCCGGTAAGCTACCAGCCGGCTGCTGTGCACCCAAAAAAATTACTATGCAAAATTATATAAGGCTAAATAATGAGATCGTGGTTGGAGGGGGAGGCTAAGAAGGATGGGTTGGGACAAAGAAACTCACAGCACGAACGCCACTGAGGTCGGCTCCTAGACATATCAGCAAGTGTGTCCAACCAAACGTGTTCATCGTCTTTCGGACCCCAACCAGGGAGCCCAGACGCTCCAACCGAGGCCAACTCAGAAGTGAGCGCCTTCATTCCTCTTGACCAAGTCATCGCTTGGCCACCCCTCCTCTTCTTCCATCCACACCCCCGGCGCGCAAACAATGCACGTCGCGGGAGTCGATGGGCTGGCATGCGTAACACGTGGCCGAGCCATTGGAGTATGGTGCGTGAAATGACGGTGCTGAGCGGTTCATTTCCTCTCCCTGTGCGGTAAACAAGGCGCCGAACACGCTCGTTGCTCACGCGATGTTCCCACCAGACGTGAGCTAAATTGCGAAGGCACCGGAGGAGAACCATTCAACCGACTGCTATCCATCGAGCAGTGGCGTACCCCAAGGCACGGTACTGAGCCGATTTTGCTTCTCATCCATGTAAACGATGTGCCTCAGCAATTCCAATGACGTGGTGCGTTGTTCGCAGATGACTTGAAGGTGTGGAGTGTAATCCGCATACCCAATGATTGTGACCTGCTTCAGCAGGACCTCGATCGCCTATCCACGTGGTCTGCAGAGATCAACGTTCCGATCAACCCGGTCAAGTCGCAATACATGAGGCTGGGTTAGTGTGAGCACAGTCGAACCTACACGGTAGCTGATCAACCGTTGCATCCCGCGCCTTTCGTGCGCGATCTCGGTGTACTCTCACGCTACGACCTAAAGTCAATGAATAACACGAATAGGCTTTAACAAAACAGCCTTCGCATGCTTTGAGCAATCAGGCGCAACTTCAGTACTTGGTCCGAAGAGATTGCCACTCGCCTCTTTGTCTCAATACTACTACCAATGCTAGAGTACGGCTCTCCCGCATATTGTCCCATCACGTTGGGCGAGGTCGAAAAGCTTGAGCAGGTGCAACGTGTAGCCACTAGGCTGATTCCCAACTTACGAGGTGTGCCATAGGAAGACCGATGTAAGAAGCTAGGGCTGTACACCCTAGCTTATCGTCGACTGAGGGCTGACCTCATCATGACACACCGGATATTACATCTGGGAGATTACCCCGTGTTGAGACCGCTGTTTCATTTGCGCACATTAAGCAGCACATGAGGACACCGGTACAAGCTTCTCGTACCGGATTTGAAGCGGGTCGCTCACCAACTCTGTTTCGAACGCAGAGTGGTGAATGTATGGAACGGCCTGCAGCAGTATGTAGTTGAGGCGAAGTCGGTGCCAGAATTTAAGAAGTTACTTGACAAACACTGCCGACGCAAAACACATTGAGCGGTACACAAAATAACGGGCCTTTGTCCCTTAGTGACGTCAGGTGCAGCTACAAAGAGCAAACTCTACTTGCTGCTTCCAAACAGTAATAATCATCACCATCATCATCATCATCATCATCACCAGTAGTGTAGTAGTAGTAGTAGTAGTAAGTAGTAGTAGCGCCAGCAGAACATCAGGCACCTGAACTGACGCTTCGCTGCCGTACAACCACAGCGACCTACGGAACGTAGAATAATACGTTGGAGGGGATATCAAGCATAAAACCTTAATGTCTACAGTAAACATTCAGGGCCAAGCCGCCAACACGTTGTCAACAACATATGGCCAAAAACCGCTGGATTTCGTGCAGACGAGGTGGCATCAGCGATACAGCTTCCATGCGGCTTTCACTGCCCCACGTCATAATCAGCCACCACTCCGCAGCTAATTAGGCAACGACAGCAGACGCGTTACTTATGTTGACTGCAATATATGCCCTGTAACGTCTCGAGCCAAGCACAAGGCGGGTCCACGTGGACTCCAGATTGAAAACCGAGATGGACCAACGGCAAATAGTTTCGTAGCCAGTCACTACATTTCGCGTTGTCAACTTAAGTTAGAATATGAGCGATGGTCGGTGTAGGTTGAAGCCCGATCAAAAAAATTACAGTTGTATGTCTGATAGACGCCACTAAGACACCCAAAACTAAGGAGGATACCGATCAGGATGCAAAACTAGATAATTTGACTAAGAAAGCTAATCGCGAGAATACATCAACAGTCCATAAAATGGCTGTCTTTGTAAATAATACAGCCTCACCATTTCTAAACTCCAATTTGTGGAATCAGACCAGAACTTTAAAGTGCGACCACAGCTGGTACGAGTTGGTCTGTTGAACACAGCTGGTGTATGTCTTAATGAAATGGAAAGGTACGCAAACGTGTCGCACTGACGCTCAGCATTCCCGTGAAGCAGCACTAGGGTTCCGTCTCCCCAAATGGAATGCTTGCAAGGCTTTGCAACGTAAATGGAGGTAATTCTCAATGTGCGAAGGGTTAGAGTGCGTCGTTTGATCCCTTTCCTATGCAAACCCCTCTACATTGAGACAGTCGAGTGTAAGATAGTACCAAAAACACCAGCTCTGAGTAGCAGATTGGGGAACAAAGCCTTTCATTAAGATAACAGCAGTGAGTGCAGACCTGCCAACAGCTCAAGGGGAGCCAAGGTGCTCGATTCCCAATCGAAAATGGTTGAGGACCTTAAAATATGAAGGTGTCCCATGAAAACTTTACGATATAGGCCGCGCACAATGGACGAATAAGCAGCAGTGGCGATAGAAAGGTGTAACGGATAGGGTAGATGAGCTTGATACTGTGTTATCTGTGGGGCGAAACAGTGAAAACCACAAGGATGCTGTCTTTACGACGATGCAGCGTAGCCGTGTGCTTTTGTTACGGCGTAGGGGTTTCCACGCTGAATGTTTGCTCAGTAATCCGCATTTGCTGTATCATCTTGATTCTACGGAGCAAGGCAATAGCTCAAAGTATTGATCTACTGCTGTTGATGATTTTGCGGCTAACGAAATCTGACAGATGGTGGGATCAGCACTGATGAGTGCCAAAAAGGACACTAAGAGAATACGAAGGCAGAAAGTTAAGTGACTCACACACTCTAATTGGCGCCACTTCGGACCCGGAGTGTTGACCGCGTAGACAGTGCACGCATAAGCTTGACACAAAGCGCGTACCGGGGTCAGATCGCGGAACTCACTGCCTTGAGCGTGCAATATAGTGCAAAGCAGTTGAGAGACGATGTGAACAGCGCATTCCAACATGCTGAACAGCATGCTGACGTTGTAATTGGTAGTGCTGATACCAACCAAATCGATGGGGCGAAGAGATTGGCCAAGAACGGTTTGACAATGGAGCATAAAGAACTCGCTTAGCTTCTATGCGGGGAAAAGCGGGGGGTGGAGAGGAGTAGAGGAGTTAACAAAGGAGCATGATGCGTGAAAAAGAGTAATTTAATCACCGCGACAAAACACAGAAGTAGTCCAAATAGACGGAATCCACTACCAAAAAGACATGCAAGGTAAACGGATAATACTCAAGTAATTCGCTACATTGCATAGAAATATGATGGATGTGTGAATCGTCGAACCGTTTGGTCAATCTGGTCATTAAAGCATGTACGATCTGAGAAGAGAGGTGCAATGGATTCAGGTGAATTGGACCGCCTTGTAATGGCAACAGAAATCCAAAATTGGGATTCCAAACGGAGTATGCACACATGAGTGAGCGTACTTTTTGGCGCTGCGGATAAATTAAAAAAAAGCGCAACATCAAGTAATCATAGTGGGATTACTGATGGAATGGAAACTGTCGTTCGGACAAGCGGTTGAGCTGTTAACACCTGACTGTCACAAGCTTGACAGCTGTGTGTACCATACAGGGTGGGACTGAATTCAGATATTGCGAGGTGTGTGTAAAACAGAACGTGGAAATTTGCGCATGTGCAATCACAGCTTTTGACACGGCATTCAACTGCGAGTGAGAAGTGACGTTAAGAGTAACCTGGAAGAAAACTGATCACAAACAGAAAGATGCCAGATCGTGTGAACAATGAAATCGTATTTTCTTGGAAGGAAACCAGGGAAAAGTATGGGAAAAAGTATAACGAGTGGAAAAGAACGGACGCAGTCACAAGTCTGAGAGGCGAATGGTGGAAACAATTAAATCCTGAAAGCGTGTCTTCCGAATGTACGAAGTGCTTCACAAGCATGTGACGATCAAAATAGATTCCGTAAATTAAAAACACGGTGGGCATGACGGAGAATCAATCTGGTATGGTTTAGTAGCTCAGAATCGACTCTAAGACTGCATATTCAAATACCATGAAGATATTGCATCCCAATGAGTAAACAGCAAGGCATCAGAAATGCAACTATCACACATACGTTCATATAATTCCGGATGTATCATCGAAGATGCCGCAAATGCGGAAGCGACACTCAAGGGTAGCCAATTTGGCATAGATGGACTCAATGGGTGCGAAACTTATAGGAAGGCATTCAACGAATCAAAAGAGACAACGCAAGCAGCATAGGGCAGAAAATACTGACATCGATTAACGGAGATAACTGTGGGTGCTATAGTAGACAATAATGTCCGTCTGAAAAGAATACCCCCATAAATACAGCAAAGAGCGATGCGGTTATTCGGCGAAACAACGACGGACATGGCTACGGTAAATCTATGAAACAACGGACACTAAAAAGAATTCACTCAGTTGGGCTAAAATACTAAATGCACCAACCTGTATCAAAGTGGAAAGCTTCTGAAGTCCATTCGCACTGAACAACTCAATCAGAAAGAGACTGCGGTGGAGCAAAATTTGACGCTCCGGTATTTTGTTTGAGAGCGTTTCTGAACCGGTTGGCTCGCATACATGAGAACGCAGCAGACGGAGAAGCAAAAGTGTCGCTGGTGGGATACAATACTTGGCCATGATGCCCTGATGTGGTTGTGGTCTACGGCCGCTTTGTGGAGTCGTGCCAGTACCGCCACCGGTCGTCAGAAGTTCGTCGGTAGTCTCAATGCTCAGCAATGATTCTAGAGCTTCTTCCAATTCGGCCAACACCGGTTTAAGCTGATTGACTAACCAGCTAAACAACTCGGCGGAGGACGAACCGGTTTGGGACAAATCGAGCACTTTAGAAACGGAGACCGGAGTGGGGCATTCGCGTAGCCAGTGGAGGAATGGGGCACATGATCGATCGAAAGAGGGAAGGTGCATGAGAGTGGCAAATGCGGCAGATTCGCCCAAAGTATCTTCCCAAATGTAATCTACAAAAAATAGACGTGAACAAGCAGTGATTAGGGAATGGAACAGTGCAGGATAAGCGCAAGGTACACAGAAGAATCAGCAAAATCGCAAACAAAGTATTGAAAGTATTGGAAACCACCTGCCGTTTCAGCTACCTTGGGAGTGTGATATCGACTGACCAGCAGCTACACGTTGAGCTGCGTATTCGCGTGTCGAAGGCAGCAGCGGCATTCGGGAAGCTTGAGTACCGAGTGTGGAACAACCATCAGCTTAGCATTGGCACGAAGCTGATGGTGTACAAATCCATGGTACTGCCCGTTCATCTATACGGCAGTGAAACGTGGACGATGTACCGGCGGGATGTGCGATATCTCGAGCGGTTCCATCACCAGTGTCTGCGACGAATTTTGCGGATCGGCTGGGGCGCCAGAGTCGCAGACACGGAAGTGTTGCGCCGAAGTGGGATGTATGCAGTGGACGGCAAACTTTTACTGTGACACCTGAGATGGCTCGGTCATGTGAGCCGTATGGATTCGGCGCGGATACCGAAACAACTTTTATACGATCAGCTGAGTATTGGGAAGCGGCATGCTGGGAAACCAAAGTTACGTTACCAGGACATGATTAAAGTGAGCCTCACACGTTCTAATATTGATTGCAGATCATGGGAATCGAAGGCGGTTGATCGTGGTACATGGCGCGATCTGATCACGAAGGGAGTTGCTGAAGTGCAGGAGAAAGCCCTTATGCATGCAGAGAAGAAGCGGCAAGTGCGGAAGCGGCAAGCACCAATGAATTGTACTCCAAAGACATCGAGCGCATGGTGCTGTAGAACATGCGGTCGCGATTGCCTTAGTCAGGCAGGCCTAGTGAGCCATGAGAGAGGTCACTCGGGACAACTGCCGAAGCCACGACGGGTCCCGCAGTGAACGTAGGCAGCACCGGCGCAGCGTTTGTAGGCACGCTGAATTCGATTTACTAACCGCGTGCTTGCATGCTAAGTCTCTTTATTTCAGGTGGTGGGTTTACAGTTTTTACCTTAATGCTTTTCTTTCTCATATAAATATCTCCCTGTACTCTATTTCATTAACTTGCACACATCGCTTCAGCCAATTGTATTCGACTTCCATAACATTTTTGTGTTCGTGGCATTCCGTGAACTATACTTTCTGACCTCGTGCACTTAGTTAGGATTTGTTTTTAAACAACTTATTACATATGCTATTTAATTAAGGTTTATGTCACCGTTTCCTTATGCATTAATCGAGTTTTTCTCTTTTTCTCACTTAAGTGATTGGCTGTTGTTTGACATCCCAGATGTGGCTGCGCTTGATGTGCATGTTGACAAGGTGCCTACCTGTCTATTACCCACTACCTCGTTCATAATGGCTCCAGGAGACAGTTGGTCGTTGCTGGAGGGGACGGAGTGCACGGTCCTTGTGGCCGTGCTAGGCTCGAAGAGTGGTTCCATGCACTCAGTGTGGAGCGGACTACGGTCCAGCCACCGCCTTGTGTGCGCTTGATTTCCCCAAATACAGCGTGCTTGTGTTTGCCTGTGAAGGAGTGTGGGACGGCTCCGTTGATGAAACGTGGCTCCCATCCACATGCCTCCCGGTCTTATTCCTTCGGGTTTACACTGGATATGGGGTATGTGGTTGGAGCTGTGGGTGGTGCAGCGAAAGCCATCCATGGTCCCTCTGTAGGCGCAGGCGTCCTGTGGCTGGCCACAGTGATAGGCAAATCCGAAACCGGATGCCGCCAACCATGTTTTGATGCTATGTTTACGGATGTCCGAAGTGACCGACTACATTCATTGCATAGTGACCTCTGATAAACGCTCTCTTTCCACTTTACGAGATCAAAATTTAAAGTTTGATTTTCTCGCCTTATCAATCACATTGGTGTGTTGATCCAACGAGTCAAAAACATGCGGCTAGAGCCATAGTTGTAGTGACAGTTGTGTATGTGAATATCACATGGCTCTTGCATAAGGTATTTTGCATTGATGTTATCTTTCAGTACATCTGGTATGGGTAATGTAACTGCTGAAAATGATATCATCAAACATGCAAAACCTTACAAACACAAAAGCAAAAAGGGAAAAGATTGTGCGGTTGACACTAGAAGAAAGGGTTCCGCATCCGCGAGCAAGGACCGTACATTGCTACAACCCTCAGTTGTGTCTGGTGAAGAGGCTGGCGTTCTACCAAGACGCTTCTTGATCATTACCTTCGATTTAACCGGCAATTTTTCGCTCAGAAGTAACATGTGGCGAAATGAGTGCAGTATCTCGATCTTTTCGTTTTAAAAATCAACGGAGGAAGTTGGTCCATTGATATTGGAAATGGTTTAATCAAAGAAGTTCAGAAAACATTCCTATAAAATGGATGTACCCATAGTAAGTAGCATAAAAGCGATGCCTCAGTGAGAAACGACAACGGTCGATTTGAAGACACCGCCTGAAATTTCCTCTATGTAGTGAGTAGCAAAGGTGGAAACACACATGGGCAACTTGAGCACAAAACACGTGAATTCCAACGTGAAGCACACATGCTGGAAGCAATGCGACGATGGAGTTAGAGTAACATTACGCGTTTCGCCAGCTGGTGGGCGAAATGAAGGTGGCGGTGGACGAGAGTCAATTCAAAGACAGCTTCAGCTCACAATCACATGCCGACCGATCATAGTCTTTCGGGTTAACATGGAATATGCAATTTGTAAGTGAAGTCATTAATGAGATAACATATGCAGCCCAAATCCCCTCGGTGAGCGTAGTCGTGGTGGTGTAAAAGCATTTGAGTGACGTTGCGCTGCAGCACTCAAGTACCTACGAGTAAGCTCGCGTATGTAGCGCAGAGGTGAAGCTGTATCGGTGAACATCGTCCAGGCGACTATCGGACACCTATAAAGCAATCAGGCGGCCATCCAAACACCAAATGAATCACACAAACAGTTATCAAGGTAATTTTTGGATGCGCCTATACTGTGTTAGGGGTTAATTGCTAATCAGTGATGACACTGCGGTGATCGGTGCGATATCGTTAGTTGTAGAGTTTATACAGACAGAGTTCGTGGTCTGCGGTTCTAGCAGCGAACAAGGCTGTAATTGCATATAGCCGATAAATGTATCTTCCTGCGACCACAGTGTGCACACAAATAGTGGCATCGCAACGTCTCCTTCATCTCTTTCATCGTTGGCTCGGAGGCACGGACCCAGTATTACGCAATACCACCAGAGAGTGCGTATAGCAGTCTTGGTTGTGGTTGTTTCAGAAAGGAATAGCCCGCGTTTTACATCGGAGTGAATCAGCATACACAACAAAAAAGTTGTGCATGAGAGACGTGGTACTGTTACTTTGACGCAAGTGTCCCGTTGGTATATTCAGCGGTTTCGGTCACTCAGGTCGATCATATCCATCAAAACAGATTTATGTGGGAGGACAATCTTCACAGTTCCCATTGAGTACAGAGACAGTGACGTACTCGAGACAAGTCGGGCCAAACGGGGACTGTAGCGCTCCAGATAAGCTACATCTTCGTTGTGACGCAGCACGGAAAGAACAACAATGTTGAGTAAAACAGCCGGATCCAGAGGATTTGCGAGGATTTGGCGCAGTGTGGAGCGAAGACCTGGCGCAGGAGCTTGATCAGAGGAGGGTTCTGTTGAAGAATCCTGCGTCTTGGACCCTAAAAGTGGTGGGAGTAGAAACGGGATGGAATAGCAAGCAAATCGCCAAAGAGTAAAGGACTGATGTAAGAACTACCAGAAGTACTGAAGCCCAACAGAGATGTGTCGCGAAAATCACAATGATCAAAAGGATGTTCAAATGAACTTTGAAAAAACTTCCAACGAAGTTCCAAGCGTGAGAAAATTGGATAAAGTAAACTGACCGGAACATTCACTCACCACGTTCATCAGCGGTTACATCTCTCCACCTGTCCGAATTTTTCGCCTCGATTTTGTTGCCAACAGAAGCAAATGCCTCCAAAAGCATCAGGAATGGAGCGAAATAGTCGTCCATCCCGATGACTTCGGCCACCCAGCATGGGGCGGAAGCACAGAGCATGGATTTGACTGCGTCGGTCAGTTGCTGTGTGGACGAGCCAAGGCTTGTAGAGCTTAAGGAACCGACACACAAACGAGCCAATCCGAACAGACTATCAGTCAGCGCTGGTTCCACAAGCGCCCGACCATCCGCATCGGTGTTCAACCGCTCCACTGCCGTGTAGGTGCCTGTGACGCCTCCAGGAATGAGAAAGTCCGAAAACAGTGAGAGAAAATGAAGCAAAACAAAGCGTGCACATAAATGAGAATACGAGTAGATTAGTCAGAAATCAAGGACACCGATTACGACATAGCGGAATCCCTGGTCGGCGTTTTAGAGCAGGTAAAAGAAAGCGAAACAGAGCCCCACGAAGCCCCTAGAAACGGCTGCGAATAGGCAGGAGGGAAGACATTAAGAGAGGGTAGCACATTAGTTAAATCGTTTCTCCGAAACTCGCAGTGTGAAGCGACGAAGTCAGCTGAACTACTGAGATTAACCGAGCAGCGTGAGTGGAGAAAAGGTTGTAAAAACTAGTCACATAAGCGCCATAGGCAAAATAAGCTACTGGCTACTAGTTCATTAACAGGCATCATCTCATGCAAACAATTCAGATTTTAGCAACCCGACATCGCATACCAAGGCGGCATCGACGAGGTGAGAAGACGGTGCACGACATACCGGTGTCGAGCAGATCCTCGAGAGTCAAAACAAGGTATTGGCAGCGATGGAAGCCACTTAGTCATAGATCATAGGATAATTTGTACCGTACATAAATTCGACGAGTCATTGCAATATAGCAATTATCCAATGGTCATTTTCTGGTGTCGCCTTCCATATCGTCTGATCATATTCCTGGGCCGGCAGGTAGAAGACCACGCCCAATTATTTATATAGACACACATTGTAATATTGATAATATTTGTGAAATTATAGTGTCCACTTCTAAATTATCATTTATTAGCAACTACTGTGATTCATAATAAGATAGTGTATAAATATTTTGTTATTTATTTCAATTTTAGAACATCATAGATTTTCCAATGGATTCAGACTGTTTTTCTGCGATGACAGTGACGGGGATGAAGAAGACAATCTTACCTCTGCGACACAACACGGAATACTGTCATGCCAGAAGCATACTCCAGCTCAGAAGACGAAATTGATTTCAGAAAAGATGAACTGGTAGAAAATTCTCCAGTTGTGTCTCTAAATAAACCCAAGACAAAGCATAAGTGGACCAATAATGACAATTCTTTTGTTGGATGTTTTCCACTTTCCACCGGTGAACTTGCATTAGATGTGCACAGTGAAAGTCCTGTTGACTAGTTCTTACGCTGGTGAATGAAGAACTGTTAGAACACATTGTGTACCGAACAAATTGGTACGCTGCACAATGTGGGATATAGAAAGTGTTTGACAGTGGCCGGGATAAAGAAGCATCTAAGAATACATTTGTGATGTCATACATCAGGATATCCCAAGATAAAGAACATATCGGTCGTCAGATGAGGGACTGAAGTTGAATCCTATCAGAAATACAATGCCGGGGAATCGATTGGGAAAAAGGTATCAAGTTTTTGCACCTTACAGACAAGCGGTACGGAATGTTCTTTCATTTTATTGATGTTGCAATTGTGAACTCGCGGATTTTAAGTTGAAACCTGGCAGAAATTTAACCCATCTGCATTTCTAATAAGGCTTTCATCCAAATAGTACACAAGTTACATAGCAGAGCCTCGTCCGGAAAAGCGCCAGACGCGTTTCGCCCTATTGGGGCTCGTCAGTGGCGCGCATTCCCTCGGTCCTCTAAGGAGAATGGAACCCATGACCGCTAGAGGCAGATGCCAACTAGCCAGCAGCTTAAGCCACTGAACCATGGGGGACGTTGGCTGGACTACATAATTTACAAACTAAATGTGATATAGCACCACCTATCTTCCACTGTCACTGACATTGGTTAGCCTGCAAGGTGATGACGTCCTCTCACTAGACGCTATATCTATAGCGTTTAAAACTAGGAGAGGCTTTTATTTCATAGTACTCATGAGTAGCATAATTTTAGTTGTAAATCTGACAACCTTGTTTCCCAATGGTTCACAAACGACATAGCAGATCCTAGTCTTGAAAAGCGCCAGACGCGTTTCGCCCCATTGCGGCTCGTCAGTGACACGCATGCCCTCGGTCCTCTGAGGAGGATCGAAACCATGGCCGCTAGAGGCAGATGGCATCTAGCCAGCAGCTTAAGCCACTGAACCATGGGGGACGTTGGCTGGGCTACATAATTTGCATACTAACTGGGATATAGCACCACCTATCTACCACTGTCTGACAGTGGTTATCCAGCATTTCAAAGCTTCAATTCCCAGAGCCCTAATAAATCTCGGCACACAGGACCAGACAAGAGTCAAAAATGGACGAGCGACCTCAACTCCCCCTAGGTGTAGTGCAGTCTCAAAAGCCGCACCTGAAGTAAGATTTCATGAAGGCAACCACTGGCAAAAGCTGACAAATATCAAGAATGCGAAGAGATGCCATCATGAAACACACTGCAAAAGAAAAACAAAGCACAAATGTGTAGAGTATAACGAATCCCTGTGCCCAGATTGCTATGTCAACTTCCATACTAAAACATGGATGTTCTAACATTAATGCATGCAGTCTAATGCAGTGGACGTAATGGAAATGTGGACCCAATTATTAGAAAGTATGGATTTGTTATATTAAGTGCTTTCTTAAACCCGAAACCGAATGAAGATTGTTAAAATAATTTTATCCACTCCAAAAATTCATGCGCGAAAGGGTTAGCGCCAACAAACTGCATCCAACGGGCGCAAACGCAATCAAATGCGCACTGTTCGTTGAGTGGCCAATATAAAATCAGCGAATAACATCCGATTCTTTGTGCTCATTTATGCCGGTTCGTGGCCGAAAGGACAAGGCGCCTGTTTGGTAACCCGGAAGGTCGCGGGTTCGAGTCTGCGTAGGGGAACGGGCAACCCTCGCAGTATCTTCAGCTTTCGCGCGACTGCTGGTTGCGTGGTAACTAAGCGCCGATTCTGCGTACTGCTGATGTCTGATGATCGTCTGAGATGCCAGAAACCGATTTAAGATTAGTCAGTCAACGAACAGTACGCATTTAGAGGAGTGCGCACCCGCTGGATGCAACTTGATGATGTTAAAGATCATCTTGACAGATGTATGGAAGAACGTGATTCACTTAGGAAGCGATTTAAGAGAGCAACGGATGCAGTTGACTGAAAAGAGGTATAAAAGAAACTTCTATAACTGATAATATCCGTACGGAAAGATGCGCTGGCAGTCAAACGGCGGTTGGCTGTCTCAAAGGAATTAAAGCTAAAAAGCAGAAGAGTGGGATGCCGTCGAGAAAACCCAGCGGTCGTTCGTCCCAAATTGCATCCCTAGTCAATGCTTACAAGCCAACTGAAGAAAACAAAATCTGACAACGCAATGAGGAAACAAGGGAGAAAGAATGAAATATGAAATGCTTCAAGTCAACGTGGAGGATGTTCTCCTAGTAGTTTCTGCCCCACCAGCTGGTTCACAGCAATGTAGACGGTCTGCTATGGTTCAATTTGATATAAGTGAACTCGAATTCCCTCAAAACATTGTTCGAGCTGCGCTCGGGTTACACCAAGAAGATTGGGTAAAGGGTGGCCCCAAGTGAAAACTCACAACGGAGCTTCCCTTATTTATAGGCAGTGTGTAGTACTGCTCTATGTACTCCCGGGCAAGAATCATGCTTTGCGGTATATGAAGCAGATGGCAATTGACTGGTGCTTTTCCGGATAGCTGGTCGACATCTCTGAATTGTCGGCTGATTGTGACGAACAAAAATACTCACCAAAAACCTTCCATTCACAAGTAATACCAATTCGCCCCTACGGATTCCACAACATGCTATGTCGATTCATAGCTGCCGTAACCGGGAAGTCCTGACGCCGGAAGGCCGACCGCTGTCATCTGCATGGCAGGTGCCTGCATGGTAGTGGAGGATGCGTCGGGCTATATCGCATTTAGCTAACAATTCACGATAGTCAGATACCATCCTCCATGGCGCAGTTGCATAAGCTGCGGGCTAGTTGGCAAGAGCCACTAGCAGTCATGGGTTCGATCCTCCGCAGAGGACCGAAGGATGCGCACCACTGATGAGCCCCAATAGGGCGAAACGGCCATCTGGTGCTTGTCCAGATAGCTGGTCAACATATCTGAATTGTCGGCTGATTGGGACGAACAAAAATACAATACGAATACTTTCGCTCCCAGATAAGATACCAGGTTCCGTTGTGGTGTTCATCAGAGTCCTCGCGGTACCTCTGAAGTGCATGCTTACTCTGTTTAAAAGTCTTCTCCAGTATCCATTCAGCTACTCGAGGTGTGATAAACAACACAAAATCGGTCATGCAGTTCGTTCAAAAAGTTGTACAACATTGTTCCTTCGATTTCAGACTATCCCTGATCCGGACACCCGGAACCTGTTGCGAAGAAACCCCCGACTACTTACATCGGAAAGATCCCCTACTCTTGAGTAGATCAGTGATCCACCCGGTCGCACTCGTTTACGATAAGGTTCACTAGTAAAAACCATTTACAATATTTTGCGTTTCATCGGAAAATATATAACTGGAGACGAGGGAGGACTCTGTATTGAGTTCGCTGCATAAAGTGTTTCGCATTACAGTTATTCTGTTAACAATAAATTACAATAGCTGGGGCTGTATGGATCAAGACCAGAAGAGTTACTCTTCATGTGAAGTTATCGATCAGTCAGGCGCAACAGTATAATGCCATCAACTATCAATCAGAACTATCAACTCTGGTACCAGAGCAAGCAGACGACGTGAATCTTGGGGTCGGACTGAGCTCCAAATAACCGTGAGGAGGGTTGTGTATGTCCGAACGGCTATGCAATGCGAAAATAGCACTAACTCAATAATAGTGTTCTGAGCTGATACTTCAATGCTATGCGACCACAACAAGAGGTGGTGCGCGGGGTGAGTTACTGCATGAGTGTTCAGACCAAAGCGGGAGTGGGCATACGAACCCTAGACGTTCGCCCGAATTGACATACCACAGATCGCTCGTCAACGTTCTAGCAGTTGGTTAGTTGGTTGAGGATCAAATAGGCTACTTTCAATACCACCAACAAAGGCAACGAGTTGCACTCCGCGTAGCTGTCGTGCGATGACACATCAGTGACTATTCAGTTCAAGTTGTGGTGCGTTTTAGTGCCCTAGGAGACACTATTATGGGAGGAATGGGACAGGTATGGACGAAAACCAACATCATAATATAAGGAGAACATTCGAAGGCCACAGACTGTCGGCCAAAGGCCAAAAGGATTGGACGTCTGGCTTGAAATCCTTAGGTCACCGGTTCGAATCTGCGTAGGGGTGGGCGTCCTAGCGGTATACTCAGCCCGCGCGAAACCGGTGGTGGTCGCGTGGCAGCGAATCCTCGGTACAGTGTGCCAGCGTACTGCTGATGACTTCGACTTCTTCGGGGGCCACAGACTGACGTGGACTGGGAAGAAAAGCGCATGAATCGCTCGACTAAGGTTGTGAGTAAGAGCACACCACGTGATATCCTGGAAGATACCCGTATAACGTCGGATCTAAAGTACAGCATGAATGCTTCCTGTCCCGACGGATAAATCCTGAAATGTGATGCCACTGCTAAGGGCAGTCGCGTTCCGGTATAAACAGAATACGTACGAGACCAGTTCAGGGAAACATATAGCTCCGCTATTCAAATAGGGAAGAGGTAGAGACAAATTGCGAGGCTAGATCACAGAGCAGTTTTGTACGACACCAATCGCAGTAGATGAGATTTTAGGACAGGATATATATATGACATGAATCAAGATGAGTGATACAGGAGTGCATGCCGAAGGGGAGAGTTCCACAGGGAAAAAAAGCTACACAGAGTCACGCAAAGCATTCGAATAACAGCTTTAATCCGTACAACACACACACACACACACAGCAAGTCATAGGACATTCCACGGCAAGCGAACGAATCCGCAACTGAAACGTGTACCAGGTAGGAAAATATGTAATCAATACAACGGCCGGTTAGTGTTTTCCGGATTCCTTTGAGATTGTCTGACTTCGCGTTACTGTGGAGAACAATAAATGAAATACATCCGAGATGATGTCTTACAAAAACGCTCAACCTATCCAAACCGTAATTTGAAATGTGTATTATTCTTACAGAAGACCAAGTAAAACATTCGTCCGAATTTATTCTTAGTGAAGTACTCTCAGTTGTGTAATGGACTAACGCTGGAATCAAGGGCCAGCTAGAGCCCGTCTATATTTAGATCTCAAACCTATCGAAATTCAGCAATCCACGGGTATACTCATGGAATCCGGTTCGAAAAACATACGGCAAAATCAACTGGCTAATAATATTACATATTGCACAAAACATTACATCCCTGTTCAATATTGGACGCAAGTTCATAAAGGAAACTCGCTGTACAAATGACCGTTCCACGACAGGTGACGTGTCCCGCCCGAAAGGAAATGTACCCATTAATTTGATCAGTTATGCAGCAGGAATTTGAGTTGACAAGTAACAGAAGCACCAGCTCACCTTTTTTACGAGCCCAGTTAATGAGCGTATCCAGGCAACGCAGAGTTTCCAATTTGTACGCCATTTCCAGTCCCAGCGCCAACGCTGTGGATGTGTGTTCCTCAAGTGAGTTCATAGTCGATGAAGCCTTTAGAAGCGACAACAACAGTCGGCAAGCCGGCTCTGGGCGAGAAGCGAGCAGAGTGAGGGAGTTTAGTTCACCAAGGAGGGTAGAGAGGAGATCTGTGAACGACAACCACAGACATTCAAAAGGACTAGAAACAAATCCTGAATCAACACCGGATCCAATAGACACAATGCATTCTTGCTGGAATGGCACAGAGTCCTGGGAGAACGATTCCGGATCGCTGGTGGACGACCGGTGACATATTTCAGAATCAGTGAAATGTTCGGCAATCCAACCAACGTCATCCAGCACACCACTGGAAAGAGATGGTGTAAAGGCGAAATAGAAGGCGGAAAGAGTAATGTTACAGCGGTAGAGACAGAAAGCGAAATTATTTGACAAACGCAGGCGGTGAGCAGAATAAACGATACAGTTAAACTGCGGTTGATTAAGCGAAGCAACTCATGAGAATGGGAAGAAAATCCTTATGTTGTCCAAGCAGTGACCAATGTGAGGACGCAGTGTGTGTAATGCAGTAGGTTATGAGAAAATGCAAAATTCCAAAACAATTTCGGCGATAAACAGAAGCGGTAAGTAATAAAAAATAGAGAAACCTGGATTTTGTAAGCTTATATGAAAAATCGGTCACCAGGCGGCTTGGCAGAGAAACACCATTGGGTATGGACGAACCAAAATCCAATAATTGACAAGCTACTCATTCCATACTAGTAGAATAGTTCGCCTTTGTGTATCTAAAACTTAAATGGAGGATGGTTCAACCTGATGAGGAAAAGCACTTCCAGCGCTGAACATGGGCCAGTCTTCATGAAAGTAACTAGTCTCAAAAGCAGCGGGGGGCGCAGTGAGATGTCCACCAACGCATTTAAATAGACAATGCTTGGGTATCGAAACTGGTGGGTAACCGGCAACACAGGACATTTTGACTACAAGCACGCAACCGGCCAGCAGTTATCAGGTGAATTGAACCAATCAATCACGATGCCAGCATCCACGCAATCAACTCATATGACGTGAATCACAACGCAGAAACAGTAAACACTATCGATGGCTGTTAAAGTGGAGGGGGAAGAATCGGCGGATGAGAAGGTTAAATCAAGGTGCCAAATTTCTCAAATGTTACTCATGGACCATGTTCACTGACTCTAAAGCTTGCATTCGGGAAAACAGCCAGTATTATGACTCAGTTAGATGTCCACATTCATGAAATCACTTTGTACTCAGAGTGGACTAGATGACAAGATAGAGCCCGCGTGAGCGTCAACCAATCGAGGTATGGGCGACCCGAGAGACACAGATCACGGTTACATTCTACAGGGCCAGCGTCCACAGAAGTGATACTGACGAAGAGGGTCAGTACTAACGTTGGCACCGGGAGAGAGCTTGACTAGTGTGAAGAGTACTTGCCAAATCGATACTCGTAGGGTCTTGGTTACACAGACGAAGTATCGATAGACCAGCATAGATAATGCTCATCTATCGCTTCTTCCGAAAGCAGCAAAACGACACAACTCATTGGGTAGTAGGCGATGGAGCGATACGGGGCAAAATGCTGCGTTTAACGGAGGCTAAAAGGTGAACATCAGGCAAGGTGTGTCGCAAATACATACTAAGCATGACAAAGCCATCAGAAAGATTTATGAGGTGTAAGGTTAGAAGTGACGTACGTAGAGTCCACCATGGAGCACAGATCCGGATAAGGGTCATGGTATGAAAGCCTGTCTGAGTCCAATAGCATCGGGCACGGTAAAGTGGAACGAGGGTTTGCCTAGAGAGGAGTCGGGAAAAATGGGATAGGATAAGGTTATGGCTAGAACGAGAACAAAGGAGGAATAAATGCTGAACGTTATCGAAATCGCCGGATAAAGTCCTGTACACCTTGACATTGGACAACAGACGAATGTCATGTAGAATTGGCCATCCAGCCGGGTATGGGCTGAGCAAACAACACCTAGATTTCCAACTAGCTCTAGCGTAAGTAGGGAAAACTAGAGCCAAAGGAGGAATGTGAGAATGGGAAATCATCCGGTGTCAACAATTCGAAGGGTCAGCATGGCTGTAGATGGCCAGTAAAACAGGAACGGTAATAAAGGAATCCAAGCTAAAAATGATAGGATGACGAAGCTAGATACATAACGGTCCGCCGGTACGAGAAGATATGCAAGTTGTGTACAATCTCAGCGTGGACTGCCTACTATGGCAAATCAAAAACGGGACTCAAAACAGGATGTCGAGTGATCAAAATATTCGATGTATTGGATATGATGATGGGGTGATACAAAGGAAGGGAAGAAACGGACGGAAAGATGAAAAGAGTCTAAGAGCGTATTGCGCAATATCCGAAAGACGGAATGAGGCGTGATACGGAGGCAATAGAAAATGCTATTGTGGCGCAGCAAAACTGACCCTAAAGACCACAGAACATCAAAGCTAGAACAGAGCACTCACAATGATATCTCGTGCGTTGTGAACCAAATGGGCGATTTGGTTCAGGTAATAGGCCAGCTTGCGTTCTAGTTCCAGCGACAGAGTGAAACGCTCGTCAGAAGGCTTTACCACACGCAGGCTACAAGACAGAGGGAAAGAAGGAGAGAGAGACGCTGGATTAGACCATTGGAAGTGCTGTAAGTTATCCTCGCGGAAGAGAAATGAGATGACACGCGACGTGATGGACATCTCGCGTAATTACTGGTGAGGAAGATACCGAATTTAATAAGGCAACACTGCTCAGAAAGGTAAGACACTGCTGGGATAGTCATGGTGGGAGATTTATACCAAAGAGATGGAAAGTCTACGTGTGAAGGAGAGCATCGATTCAGCTCATCAAGCAGAAAACACTGTAGGGTGTTCGAACTTAGGTTTTACTGTCACTGTCGCCGGCCAATAGCTTTAGGGATCACAAGCCTATCTTGTGATCCGAAGACGCGGGTTCGAGCCTGTGTAGAGACTGGGTGACCCTCGCAGTATCTTTAGCTAACGCCAACGCAAACGTTAGCCAACATGATCGATGAAGCCCCGATCACGACGAGACACGGCTTGCTCCTCACAAATCTGGCTTTCACGAGCGCCAGTCAGTCTGTGGAAGATTACAGAGGCAAGCAATTTGGGGGCGATGGAGATCAGACTGATTCCTCTATGGTTGCTGCATTCCGAACGCGAGCCTGCTTTGAAGATCGGGACAGTAACGGAACGGCTCCAGTCGGCTAGGACAGTTTCCTGCTCTCACAGTTTTACCAGTAATTCGTGTAAATCAGCAACAAGAGCAGGACTCCCGAATTTGAAGAGAGCTGGATGAAGATCATTCGGTCCGGCAGCTTTATTCAACCTCAACAGTCCAATCGCACGTTCGACTTCTGGAAGAAAGGGTGGATCCAAAGGGACAGTAATGGGAGCAAGCCATCAGTGGGCGGTGAGGAATCTAACAATTCTGGTTGATTAAACTCCTTTCCAAAATTCTCAGTACAGCGCTTCAAATGTTTTGACAAGTCGTGGACAGGCTGTCCAGTCTCGCCACGTATGCTTTCACTATCATTATGTTTCCTGCTGCTCGTTTCCCGTATAGGACGGAAGTACTTCGGTGATTAACAAGGGCAGCGGCCTCTTCCATCTCTGAAGCAGGAAGAGACCATCAGGATTCCCGGTCTCTCTTCAGGCTAGCACGGAGTTTTGTCCTGATGTCTTTGCGAGTCTCGTTTTGCTAGCCTCCTGCCGGAATGTGCCGGCGAGCATCGATAAATTCCAGAGATTGCGGAGAGGCCCAATGTCTATTTTGACTAGTGGATTTACCACATGATGATTTACCTGCTTCAAGTAAGGTCTGGTGAACATGCGACCAGTGACCTTCAACTGTATACAGTGAGCGCTTGTTCAACCCGAACGCCAGCGTAGTCCGATACGCATTCAGAACAACTGGCTTCTACGCGCTCACAGGGTCGTAGAGGGCGACTGCTAAAACGCACCCGCAGATCAGCACATACAAGTGCATGGTGAGTGTCCACACATGTGCTCCAAATCGAGTGACAGTTTTGGATGCAGCCTCTCCGCTGATAACTGATCGCGATGTGATCGATTTGCGTCCATGGATGGTTCGATCCTGGTGGGCACCATGTCACCTTCCGACGGGTGCTGTGCTGGAAGTTAGTGCTCGCAAGAAATAAGCGAGCATCTTCACACAAAGGAATTAACCGCTCACCGTTATCATTACGGGAGCCAACACCATGTTGGCCGTCCAGATGCAGCTCATCTGTGGACAATTTCCCAACGGGAGCGTCCAGATCCCCAGCAAGCAACACAATGTTCGTGCTTCTTCTGTGGCGAAGTCAACCAATTTGATGTCATCAACAAGCGAAGATTAGAACGTTGATCCAGACAGTAGTGTGTGTGTGTGTGTGCGTGTGCAAAATCCGGTCTCAAACCGATAAATGTACGCCTGTCGAGAAGTGTCAGGTGTTAATCAACCATAAGCACGACTGTGCGATGTTCCAGAATACATCCGCATCTGATCTGGTCGAGGCATTCGCAATATTCCGTGTGGCCCATCCAACTCGACCGAGCGAAGTGTACACCCTCGTTGCCGATGCCGTAAGGTCACGCGTTTCCACCCAGACGGCAACTTAGGCCGGCACCGATGCTAGCGATGTCTCCGGATGCGGCATCCTGATGGCTAATGCAATACTGTGCCAACCAAGGGGGCCAAATCTCATATGGACCACACTCGCAAGCACAATACTCGTCCAGTTGGGGGCTCCAAGATCATTTTGACCACATTTTAAGTCAATGCGGCTGACCGCAGGAAGTTCGTCGACATCCTGATCAATGGTCAACTAATCCAATTGCGGTTAAATACGACTTCGGACACCACGATCATCTCCAAGGACCACTGACTATTCTGTGGTAAGCCAGCATTCCAATCGACCTCTCAAATCGCTATCAGTGTCCGTGGTGGTCGCGTTCGGCTAACCGGGAAGCTGCAACGCTCAGTCTCCTTTCGAGATGTCACATTCGACTGTAGCTGTTACATCCCGTGAGCAAATCAGTACGTTAAGTTCTGCACAAAACTTGCGTTAGCGAAAGTGACCATGCGGTTCTTTGATGAATGTGTTTCGCGTTGTGAATATCCTAAACACTTTTACAAAATACTCCGTAGAAATCGGATTAATCCAACTAATGTGGCGCTGAAACGGCATACGTTGAATGAGCGTGATACCATTGCCTCGAGACTTGATGAGCTGGAATGTAATCGCTGCGCGTATTCCGTCACATTGGACAAACTGGACGCAGTGGAGCGCAAACAATTCGATACCTTTGTTCAACGAATAGTCACAAAGCAAGAGGAAAAACGCTTAGCTTCATTGCGGCGGCAGGTTTGCACAACTAAAGCAAATACTTTATTCCCCATCCTCCCCGGAACCGGAAATGTATGTTCACAAATTTGCGTCGTTGCACTTGGATAAGACATTGCTTGAGGTGCTCTCACTTGGTCCAAACTTTTGCTGTCCCCGCAGTTACTCAAGACAATTAGAATTAGAAGTGCAGTTTGAAAATTAGTATGCTCAAGTTTCTATGCTTACGCCGTCGTCAGCATTAGCGTCTGAGCATTTTAAATCTTCTCTGGTCAATACTTATTATCAATATCTGAAATACAAACCTAAACTTAGGTATTTGCTGAAAAAAGACCACTTAGATGCTCTCAAAGCTCTCAAACAAAATGAGAATGTGCTCCTTTTAAGGCCTGATAAGGGGACAGGGATCGGGTTGATGCAGAAAGCTGATTACATCGACAAGATGAACGCCATCTTTGGCGATTGCTCGAAGTTCCGGAAAATGGGGGATGAAAAGGACAAAACTGCAGCAATAGAAAAGACAGTTACTAAGCTTCTACGGCGCTTGAAACAGGAAAACATGATTGACTCCGCCACGTTAGAATACATTCGTCCCACAGGGACGGTGATCCCGAGACTCTACGGCTTACCGAAGGTGCATAAGGAAGGACTTCCACTAAGGTCCATACTAGACATGTGCAATTCACCGTATCACGCAACAGCCAAGTGGTTAGCTAAGCTTCTAGAGCCGGTGAGAAATACTATGTCCAGGTACAGGCTACGAGACACATTCAGTTTCTTAGACTCCCTAAGACAGCTTCAGCTAACCGGAAGATAGATGTTTTCGTTGGATGTGGTGTCGATCTTCATCAATATTCCGTTAGAAGAGACAATAGACTATATATGTGACACCGTTCGAGACCATCAACTGGGTATCGGCCTTTCAACTGATCGATTGAAACAGCTACTCCTGCTGTGTACTAGTAACATACAATTTCAGTTTAACGGGGTCATATGCAGACAAATAGATGGACTAGCAATGGGCTCACCACTTGGACCGCTACTGGCGGATGTGTTCGTGAGCAAATTAGAGAATACTTATCTGAGCGGAGTCATTACCAGTCTACCATATTACGGACGATATGTGGATAATATATTCTGCGTGACAAACAGGCACTGTTGCCCAGAGAAAATTTTATCCCATTTTAACTCAGCGCACCCTAATGCCAAGTTCACCCTAGAAACTGAAGTCAATGACACGATGTCCTTCCTAGACGTCCAGCTTAGTAGACGACCAGATGGATCAGTCCAACGTAGGGTGCATAGAAAAACAACGTGGAACGGACAATATATACATTTTGCCAGTGCTGTCCCAATAAATCAGAAACGCAACTTGATTAGATGTCTAACCGAAAGGGCCAGAAGGATTTGTAGTGAGGACACACTTGCGGACGAGCTCAGTTTCTTAAGTGGCGTTTTCGAGAGAAACGGCTATCCAGAAAAATTTGTTCGGAAATATATGGAGTGCAGAGAAATGAGAGATAAACCAGTTTCGGTAGAAAAGAAACCGGTTTATTTGTCGTTGCCGTTCAAGGGGGATGGCATAGCGCAGGCAACATTTAGAAGATTACCCGACGCTATGAGTCATACGTACTACGCAGCAAGCTTGCGGCTAAGTTTTACCTCAACACCAATCGTGAGGCCCTAACTCAAAGGCAGACTTCCCTGGTCATGTACTTCTTATTGTGTATATTCCTTCTCTTGTTCATGTCGAGCAAGATACATTGGAAGAACTACTAGGAGGCTGTCTGAGAGAATACGCGAGCATTGTCCAGCTAATCTATGCAATGGTGGAAGAAAAACTGTGATGAGCGCCGTGTTGTCACACTTGGTTGACTATAATCACCGCCAATCTTTTCAACCCATTTACTATGTACCTGGACGCCTTTCACGAGCGGGTAAATGTCTTATACTAACAGCAGCTGAGGCAATTGCTATCCGCCACCAGAACCCAGACTTATGTGCTCAAAAACGGTTCGTTCAGATGGTGTTTGCCCTGGCCCACTATCACAACGGCTCAGGTTGAGGGACTTGCCACCGATAAGTCATCGATCACTTCTGATCGGATTACTTAGTGTTTTCATTCCAAATCTCAACCTGCTTGGTCTCGGTAACCCTGGCTTGGCCGATCTGCCTATTCTGGACATTTGTACCGACGTACCTTCTCCGACAGTATCGACTGACCAAGTCGACACCAAACGGCTCGCCTTAATGTTCTAGGAGGGCTTTGGTCGCTCTATACGTACTTAGGCCGTGTTACTGCTAGCACCTGGAGTTCAATCCTTATTTGTCCAAAAAAGACTACACTATGCAACTCTACCCTTAGTCGATGCCGAACTCATATGATTGAAAGAGATGGTTATCCTGGAATCTGTGCCTTATTGCGCCTGGACAGTTTTGATGGTTGTATTCAGGAAACCGGATGGATCCCATTGCAGTTGTGCTGATTTTCCACGGACCCCAACGTGGCGCTGAGGCAGAAATGCTACGCACTACCGGTCCCAGCAGATCGAATCACAGTGCGCAACGGTGACATGTGCTTCGTAAGATTGGCGTAGCAGAGGTGTAGCAACAGATCGAAGTTGCCACTGAGTCGCTAACCCTTTTTAAGGATTATCAGCACCGCTGTCCCATACAGTACACCAGACTGAGATTTACCGTGAAGATTACCCCGGCGATTTTCCGACAAACGATGGATTTGACACTATGGGTACGGCGGCGTACCTGAGCGATCTCCTCATAGTTGACCGCACCCCAGTGGAGCTCTGAGAGTGCCAGGTCGCGGTCTTCTGACGTGTCCAGGATACCGCCTGAAAGCAGAATAATGTCAATTTTTCCTTCGGCTGATCAAACACCTAAGGTTCGTTTTGGCGCGAAAGGCCATCAACCCGGCCCCGAAAGCGTCAGAGACATAGAACAAGTGACAGCTCCAGTGAGTTTCACAAACGCGGTCCTTGCTTGGTTGCATTAGCTACCGCAGTGCTTTGCAACCATTGCTACACGAAGTACGAGTCCTATTCAGTTGGTTAGTGCAGAAGCATATTCCTTAGCGTTGGACCCCGCTTGCAAGAACACTTCCGTACAGTTGAAATTGATGCTGAGCTTCTGACAGATTACAACCCATCTTTGTTGACCTCAGTCGCTGTTGATGTCTCCAGCTACGGGATCGGCGCTTCCCAGACAGTTCAGAAAGCCTTTAGGCACGTGTCACGCACGCGGTTGCCCGGCAAAAAGTACGACGGTCAGATTGAAAAGGAAGTCCTGCCTATCGTGTTTGACTTCAAGAGGTTCCACAGGATGCTACATGGCCGACATTACTCTTCGCTGACCGATCAGAAGCCATTGCCATCAATGTGCGGTTCTAAGAAAAGCATCCCTGCATAGTCAGATGGCCGACCTAAGTGATGCGTCATCATTTATTTTGATTATGACTACAAAATAAGCTACAGTCGTACCTAGGATTTCAGTCAAGCTGAATGTCTGTCCCCCTCATTTCCAAACATGCTGCAGAAGAGCACTGTCAGAGAAAGAATGCTACATGAATTCCAGACTGCGTTACTTCGGATAAGGCAATGGGGCACTGATGCAGACAAGCTGAAATCTGCCAGGAATGCAGACGGCATGTGCCAACCCGGCTCAGGCTTTTGGTCGGAGCCACCATGATCCTTTTCACACTATCATCGGTGTGTGAAGAAAAAGCAATGCTAGGGTACTCAGATCGACCCAACGGCTCAGAAAAAGACCAGAGGCCCATTTCTAAACACTGCTGATAGAAACGGTCTTGGAGACCGTGTTCCTCATTTTCAAAGAGGGCTAGGTGCGCCACAGTAAGCTGTAAAGTATAGAGCACTAAAAAAGACTAATAAGCGGACATGAGGAAAGGGGAAATGAGCATACTCTAATCGTGAATGAGCAGTTGGAAAAAGAGGTCGCAGAGAGACTGTGATACATTAGGGCCGACTTCGGAAAGTGGCGTCAATCAGGTAGATACAGTTGGGCTTGGAGATACAGTGTTTCAAATCTATTATCATGACTTCGAGACCGATGCCTCTATTCTGTTGCATGGAATCGATGACAAATGACCGGAAACCGGCTGTGTGAAAGACAACGATGAAAGTTGTAGCAACGAGATGAATGTAAACGGCAGAGTCGCATCAAATTGATCAAAAAGACGGCACTATAAAAAGTGCTGGTGGATGCTGTCAGATAAAAAGCACGGTATCCGAGAAGACAGTGGTGTTTCCGGCAGTGCGACCTGCTAGTGCGACTAAGTGGAAAGAATTTTGCAGAAAACGTACCATATCGAAACCAGACATTAAGGATGCATTTAGTGACGGACACAGGTGATGAATTCAGGATGACGGCTGCATGTGAAAATACGCCACTGTCCGGATGGGAGAGAACACCACAAGTAGTGGAGGAGTGAGGCTATCAGAAACAGTGGTAATGACACACGATAAAAATTGAACTTTGTGCATGTGGCAACGAAAAATTGTAAGTCGAAAACGAATGTGGAGCGAGGGATTAAAACGGTTAAAAAGAAATGATTGAACATACCTGTCCACCAATTCGTGGAATTCCAACAACAGCTCATAAGCGTGCAACTTGTTCAACAAACGTTGATAAGCGCTGGTGACACGGGTGTTCTGCAAAGACACGAGACACAAGTACATCTATAAGGCAAAACTGTCTCTTGAGGAGAGTCTTAAAGGACTGTTAACCTAACCTGAGTATGTCACAGAATACGATAAAGCTGATGATAATAATAATAATAATAATAATAATGGGTATATATCTCATTGAGTGAGAAACGGCGTTTTATTTGGCACAGATTATATTTCACAGAATATGTTATGCTCAGGTATGAGTGGCAAACAGTTGTGTGATGTTCATTGTCTTTACTGTTTCAAGGGTTTGTATTTACTCGCAGGTGTGTTTCAAATCCATGTGCACTAGTTGGATTAGGGGATGGTAACAGTACTAAGGGTGCATCACACCGCATAAATTTTTTTGTTTTTTTTTCACGCATCAGATGTCGTCTGGCCCTTCTTAAACAAAATATCAGGTGATATGTTCCAAAAGAACAGGGTCATAAGGAAAAAGTTGGATCATAGATTTACCCTGCACCTGGGTCCATTTAGGGTAAACACTTTATTGTATAGCTCTCTTGTCGAACTATGCTGTAGTTCTAAGGAAGGCAAATAACAGTGGGCGTTTTGATAAATCATGTTGTACAGAAGCATCAAGTTATCTAAAAGCTGCGTAGCCAAAGCGGATAGAGCTGGAATTGTTGACAGCGCTCCCGATAGTTCTTAGTGGATGTTTTGCCTAGCAGACGTTTGCTAAATCACCTCTGTATACTTTCCAGAGATTGTTGAATTTTCTCATGCTGCCACTAATGATATTACAATATTTCAAAGCGGGGCGAGGGAGGATTTGGTAGAGTTTTACTCTGGCTTCAATTATGTGGATCTTATACAGCACAATAGCCAGCTGGTATTCCACTCGTTCAAAGAAGTTGAAGGTGCAAGCATACCTGATTCCGAGGTCGCGGGTAGACAGCTGTACACAAATGTGTTCGTCGTTGAGTGTAGTTGATCTTTCGAGTATCGAACAACCGCGATATATGATGCTAGATTTTTTTCACCGAGAACTTCCTCATCCAAGTGTCACATCATTTCTCAAGGGAGTAAAAATCTTCCTTATGAGCAGTAATGTAGCTTGAAGTTCAGCTCGTTGGAATTTCTAGACTACCTTTATGTCATCTGCAAATAGGAAAGTCATGCCATGACTGATAACCGCACTGATGTCATTGACGTAGAGCAAGAACAGTAACGGACCAAGTACACTCCCTTGAATAACATCACTAGTGATTGGACGTGGTGAAGAGTGGTGGTCAGCTATGGGAACTACCAGAAAAAGGCCGATCAGGTATGACAATAGTCAGCCTAGGAGTGGGTCCTGAATTCCAAATGAAGCAATCTTTTTCAGCAGCCGTTTATGGGGCACTCGATCGAATGCCTTTTCTATGTCCATGAACAGAAGTATGATTGCGTATCCTGAGTAACTAGAATCCAAAACGTAATTTAGGCAATGAAATTGGCAGGTTATGCACGATCGTTTGTCCAAGAAACCATGCTGGGAGCTGTCGATTAGCTCCAGCGAATTGATGGATTTCATCACACTGTTTTTAACCAGTTTCTCTAATAATCTGGCCAATACAGGGATGTGATGGATTGGCCAGTAATTATTAAGTTCTCGTTTGAAGCCAAGCCTGAGACGAGGGATGATGAGCGATGTTTCCCACTGGTCAGAAAAGTAGCCTGATTCCAACGAAAGAGTAAACATGTTCAGGAATAGCTACGGCATGTCAGGCCATTACAGTTTTATAACGGCAGGTGGGATACCATCGGAATCCAGATGGGAAGAAGGTTTGATGGAATGTTGGACAGTACTGATAGAAAGTTCAATTTTACACCGGACGTTGATTGTTTGCGCCCCAATGCATGCACTTAATGGGGTCGTCTCCAGGCTCATGGAGGTAGCAATAGATGAGCTAAACGCTTCGCAGATGTCGATTGGATCATGAAGGGACTGTTCGTCTGCATTAAGCAGTCTATCGATCAAGGGGAGTGGTAGTTAGTTCTACGACGCAGAATGTTAACAAGTTCTTTCGTTTTACATGTCGTTCGTTGAGCCATTTGTTCTTCGTGTATCATCTTCGTCAACTGTATGTGCTTGACCCTGTAAAGGATGTTGTGCAACTGTAAGAGAAAGATGAAATTTCCTGTCTTGCTGTACGCAGCAATTAGACTTTGTGTTCCCGGCAGATTGAATGCCCGATTGCGTTTTTTTGGATATGAGGAATCCCCTTGTCTTGGGGAGTAAGGACAGCAATGGCCTGATCGACCCGACGGTAGAAATAGTCCACGACAGTACACACAATGTTAGAGAGAAAGAATGCGTCCCAATCGGATGGTCGAAATAATTGCTGGAATTGCTTGCAGTTCAACCTATGGGTTGTATGTTGCGGAATAAAGGCGTATTTGATGGTCAATTTAACGCAAAAGTAAATCGTACCATCTTGTGGTCGCTACTGGAGAGTTTGCCTAACACCCCTGTTTGTGTCTCTGTGATCCCCAAAGTGAATATCAGGTCGAGTATACTGGTCGCTCGTGTTGGTTCAGCAACCCACTGTATCCACCCAGCAACCATGAGATAGGAAAGGAAAGTTGCATGTGTAGACGAGGATGGCTGGGAGGACCACCTAATCTTTGCTAAGTTGTTGTCAATTGTCTTCTGTCTGTGTGGCATCCTAGCACCAAAGTGGAAAGCTGAGGTGATAATGGTAACACTCGCGGTTGACACAGTTGGCGGGTCGTAAACACATCCGAGTAGAATGTGAGAACCGGTTCCCGAGATGAACAATCAAAGATTCGGGAACATTTGTTAACTCTGGATGATCAAGAAGTTATGCTGCAAATGTACAGTGGGTATATCATGCATCCAGCAACTTTGCCTGTGCCGCGATCTTTTCGGAAAAGTTGGCAATTTGAAAGCATTAAGGTAGAATCCAGTATCGGACGAGTAACAGGTTTCGGTAGCGAGCATTGCTTATGAGTCCTTCATATTTTCAAACATGCTTAAGAGGTACAATGTGTTGTTAATATATCTGGCATTAAGTAGAAGTACAGGAAACGGACTATTGGCGGTGGGGTCATCGTGTTGCGGTTCGTTGTTATACTAATTCTCTCGCAACGTGATATGAGTGAGTGGCTGAAAGTCCTCCGATGTGGTGAAAGTTTGCCTCACACAAATGACGAAATACTGAGTTCAAACTACCGGTTTCTGCAAAGGTGGGAAACAGAATCACATCCAAACCGCTTCAATATAAAAGGAAATAACAAGTCATAGAGGAGTACCGTATCCGCAATAATCGCAGCGCAAACCCATGTTATAATGAAAAAGCATTCGGAAATCTTAGTACTCGAGAACAGCTTGGTCATGTGACAAAATGATAGCGAGTGGCAGCCCAAGCCACCTTGCAAGTAGGCTGAGACGCAAAGCGGAATTAGTGAACACTATTAGCGAAGCGGAAAATTCGACAGAGGTGTTGCAGTAATTGCGTGGACGAAATTATGATCTGCCTGACGTAGTTCAAAGAGCATTAGCGAATTCCGATCCAAGCATCAGTAGCGCTCCGGTTGGTAGTTGTGACCGATAACGAACAGCCGCAGTTGGCAAAGTGAGCGACATTAACCTATCATGGTGCTTAAACAGGTACAGTATCCTCAACTGTGACGGCAGCTGGTAATTTGGATACGATAGGATGTGAGGCGGATGATCAGAAAGCAATCAGGGCATGTCCAGGCGAATTGCAGGGAGGTGAAATGGTGTGCGGCTAAGAATGAGTCAGCTTCAACGTGATCCAAGCGAAAGGAAGAGGACTGGGTCGGAGAGTCCGAGCAGAACAGAGAAACGACGCGTGTGAGTCAATGAACGTAGATAAACGGTGAATGGATTGGATAATGAGAAAATAGGTAGTGAAAATCTGCTAAAATGGAACAGCGACTCAAGAGAACAACAACAACAACAGCCACTACTACTACTACTACTACTACTACTACTACTACTACTACTACTACTACTACTACTACTACTACTACTACTACTACTACTACTACTACTACTACTACTACTACTACTACTACTACTACTACTACTACTACTACTACTACTACTACTACTACTACTACTACTACTACTACTACTACTACTACCACTACTACTACTACTACTACTACTACTACTACTACTACTACTACTACTACTACTACTACTACTACTACTACTACTACTACTACTACTACTACTACTACTACTACTACTACTACTACTACTACTACTACTACTACTACTACTACTACTACTACTACTACTACTACTACTACTACTACTACTACTACTACTACTACTACTACTACTACTACTACTACTACTACTACTACTACTACTACTACTACTACTACTACTACTACTACTACTACTACTACTACTACTACTACTACTACTACTACTACTACTACTACTACTACTACTACTACTACTACTACTACTACTACTACTACTACTACTACTACTACTACTACTATACTACTACTACTACTACTACTACTACTACTACTACTACTACTACTACTACTACTACTACTACTACTACTACTACTACTACTACTACTACTACTACTACTACTACTACTACTACTACTACTACTACTACTACTACTACTACTACTACTACTACTACTACTACTACTACTACTACTACTACTACTACTACTACTACTACTACTACTACTACTACTACTACTACTACTACTACTACTACTACTACTACTACTACTACTACTACTACTACTACTACTACTACTACTACTACTACTACTACTACTACTACTACTACTACTACTACTACTACTACTACTACTACTACTACTACTACTACTACTACTACTACTACTACTACTACTACTACTACTACTACTACTACTACTACTACTACTACTACTACTACTACTACTACTACTACTACTACTACTACTACTACTACTACTACTACTACTACTACTACTACTACTACTACTACTACTACTACTACTACTACTACTACTACTACTACTACTACTACTACTACTACTACTACTACTACTACTACTACTACTACTACTACTACTACTACTACTACTACTACTACTACTACTACTACTACTACTACTACTACTACTACTACTACTACTACTACTACTACTACTACTACTACTACTACTACTACTACTACTACTACTACTACTACTACTACTACTACTACTACTACTACTACTACTACTACTACTACTACTACTACTACTACTACTACTACTACTACTACTACTACTACTACTACTACTACTACTACTACTACTACTACTACTACTACTACTACTACTACTACTACACTACTACTACTACTACTACTACTACTACTACTACTACTACTACTACTACTACTACTACTACTACTACTACTACTACTACTACTACTACTACTACTACTACTACTACTACTACTACTACTACTACTACTACTACTACTACTACTACTACTACCATACATGCTGTAAATCGGCCAATGCTTCATCCACGACACAACTAAATAAATAAATAAATAAATACGTAAACGGGTATATTTCCCCACGGGCGGGATATGTTCCCTTTGAGGAACGATCAATTGTACTGCGAGTTGCACCAGTATTTCACGTGTGAACTTGCATTCAACAAGTAGCAGTGTTAAAGGTAATATGCTAATGTTATTGGAAGCGAATTTTGTCATATGTTTTTCGGAGCAGATTCCATGAGTGTACTCGTGGATTGCTGAATGTCGAAAAGTTGGACCACATTTGGCATGGGGAGAAAAGTTGTTAGATGAGAGGTAAGTATAGACAGGCTCACACTGGTTCTTAGTTGCAGCGGTAGTTTATTCCGCAGATACCCATCTATGGAATAAACTATCACGTACTTCATCATGAGGAAATTTAAGCAGATGTTATGCTTGGTACTCTGTAATAGCAGCAGATATTTCTAATTACAGTTGGGATAGGTTGAGCCATTTAATAACATCACTGGTTGAGAAGACTCGCGAATATATTATACTATAGAGAAGAGCAAGAATGCTTTTCAGTCGTCAAAGCAAGAGTAGGCATACTGGAGAAAAGAAGATGGTTCGTCGTAGGTAAGCTTCGATGAACGCTCTATGAAGAAATTGGTCAACGAGCGCAGGACGTTTTCCAAAGAAATGCAACTTGTCTTGCAGTAATCTAGAGTGGGTCACATCATGAGTTCGAAAGATTCGAGTCGTGTTTGGGTGGATGAAAATGGCCTATTGATGTAGCCTTTTAGTTGTTTTACTTACGTTACCTGATGTAGGATGTGTTCAGAGAACTTAGAGCTGCTAGAGGATGAAATTTCCAAATCACGAACTGAATACGCAACTGCGATTATGGTGCCAGTTATACTGCATCTGTGGCAGAGTAACTGAGACTTACCTGTGAAAACTTCGTAGACCTGTTTTCGCTCCATTTGTTTAGGGATAATAGTGTATATCATCTTTACATAACCCTATGTGGTCACGTGAATAAGAGTACACGAGTTTGATGTCGCCTGCAGATGGGTTACACCGACTTACACTTAAACTGCACCTTGTTAACCTGGATAAAAAGTATTCCTTTCTATATGATTTGCTTGGTGCTGTTATTCCGCTGCACAATCCATGTCAACGTAGCATGTTTATTTTTCGTCAAATTCTATGTTGGTTGTTTGATATCCCCGATACGGCCGCACTTAATGTGAATGTTGACGAGGTATCCACCTGGCTTACACGCTTCACTTCGATTACTGACACCAGGAGACTGTGAACTGATGCTGGGGGGCGGGTTGCACGGTCTTCTTGACGATGTTAGGGTCAAAGAGTGGTTTCAACCAGTCTGGAGCAGACTAAAGCCAAGCGACCGCCATGTATATCTGGTAGGCTTGATTTCCAAATTTGATGGACAGGAATACTGTAGCTGTGTTGCTAACCATATGGTTGGTGGCATTTGGTTCCGGATGTGCCTATAAGCGCTGTCTCTAGGGGGACAGCCAAGGGACACCTGCACCTACAAAGAGACCATGAGTGCCTGGCGCTGCACCACCAACAGCCCCATCCACACACCCCATATCCAGTGTAGCCCCAAAGACCAGAAGACATGTGGATAAGAGCCACGTTTAATTAACAGAACCGGTCCACACTTCTTCAACATGCACAGATGCAGCATTCCTGTGCAGCAAATTTTAAAATCAAGCGTATCAGAGGTACACAGGGCGCAGACTGAGCTTCAGTCCGCTCCACACTAAATGGCACCACTCGATGAGCTCAACAGGGCTACGAGAATCATGCGACGGACACCTAAGCAAAGATTCACAGTCTCCTGGAATCCGGAATCGAGGTGCAGAGTGTTAGTCAGTTAGATACCACGACAGCATTCACATCAAGTGCAGCCACACCGGAGGATATCAAACAGAAAACATAGAATTTGAAGGAAAATAAATACACAAGAATTGACACAGAATATGCGTCAGAATAACAGCACTGAGCAAACCAAGTAAAGCAGAATACTTTTCATTCAGGTTTAGTGTAGGTCGGTGTAGCGCAACTGCAGTAAAGAAAGATGATGTATGCAACATCAACCAAATATATGGTTAGCGGCATCCGGTTTCGGATTTGCCTGTCACTGTGGCCAGCCACAGGACGCCTGCGCCTACACAGGGACCGTGGGTGGCTTGCGTTGCACCACCCACAGCTCCAACCACACACTCCATATCCAATGTGTAAATCCGAAGAAATAAGACCGGGAGGCATGTGGATGGGAGCCACGTTTCATCAACGGAGCCGGCCCACACTCCTTCACAGGCAAACACAAGCACGCTGTAGTTGGGAATCAAGCGCACACAAGACAGTGGCTGGACGGTAGCCGGCTCCACACTGAGTGCATGGAATCACACTTCGAGCGTAGCACGGCCACAAGGGCCGTGCACCCAGTCTCCTCCAGTCATATATATATATATATATATATATATATATATATATATATATATATATATATATGGTTGCTAGTCCTTTCAAATAAGAATCCGGCCGAACGACAGCAAGATACAAAGAAATAAAGCTGGCATCACGGTCGCGTTCGAGCAACTAGTCCTGCTTTCACAGAGTTCATTGGGTCAAAAGTATAAACGTTCGACAGCGCCCCAGGGAACAAATGGCAGCGAGAGAGCAACAACTGTTGCAGGTTGGAAGGCCATCTTCACTCGCACAATCAAGGGGCTCACCGTGCATTGCGTTGAAAGCAGGTTTGGATGGCTACCTTGGTATTTGTGCCCTGATCCAAATCAAACATCCAGTGCTGCTAAGATAATGAATAAACAAAAACGTAACGTCTCCATGCCCAACCAACTCACTCAGTTATTGATTAGGGCGATTTCCAGTGTGCTGAAACGTTCACTGATTGGTCTCATCGTCTGCAGTCATGGGTATGCTAGAAAGAACATTACACTATACTAGAGCCCAATAGTGAGGCTTGGTGTTCAGCTTGCTGGCTGCGAATGCGAACTACTAAGTCTGTTAGGCGTTAGAGGGGAAAGAGAAATTTGATAAGTATCATGTTAATGAAGTCGCAATATTTTGGTTACAACTATGCACAAATTTCCAGGCAGCAGCAGAGGACACAGATGCCCTCAGGATCATACCTTGCTCGCGCCCAGCAGAAACACCAAGCGCTGGTATGGTGTGCGGGTGGGAGGAGAAAGACAGTCTCCGTCATCGGTTTCTGAAGGCTTGGGAGACGTCGCACATGATGCAGGCGAGTCCTCCTGCTTTACACCAGGCTCCTCAGGCACAACCGCATCAGATTCAGAGGGAGATATTGATTGCTGTGGGATCGTCTTCGCGGTGGATTGCATTGCCTCGTCTGGTTGGGGAGGGCAAGACATTTGGATGTCGTCTTGGGGTTGTTCGACGGGTTGGATATATGATATGGGGCAGGGTCGGCCAAAGAATGCATCCAAACCAACGGGTAACCGAGCCGTCTGATCCAAAGCACGACAGATTGCCAGACGCAGAGGAGTCGTAATGAGAGGCGATTCGAGGAGATTCAAAAGCAGATGCTGCACCTGCGGGTGACAAAGATAGAGGCGCTAAAAGTTCGAACAGAACTAGTGGGTTGGAAATAAATGCTAAAAGCTTTCGGAGGTTTGACACCGACCTGAAAGGATTCAAACTGTAGAGAGTTACGGTCCACTACTGCACTGCTGGGGTAGAGTAGGGAGCAGGCGATGGCCGGGTCGAGAGTCGCAGTGACAAGTCCGGTTAACCGAACCCCGGCCAGTAAATGACGAACAATGTATCCACTGTTGGACTGTCTCAGGGCAACTGACATATCCAGACCTGCGTAGACCCATATGAGGAGAGTTTTTGTAGCACCTGGAAAGTAAAAAAAATACGGAAGGAAATGTTCACTGGATGCATGATCCAGGAATTGACCGCACTAAGACAGAAGAGTCAAGATAGAATGCATAATTTCCTGCATATCGCTGTTAGCAGACATCCGAACCAACATGGATCAGGTAGCCTAGTAAGGAGAAAGTTCTAAAACTTCTTAACCAGTGTGGCCAAAAATGGATTATACACATGTACAAAGTTGCTGGTTAATCTAAAGGGGACAACCTCGATTAAACACAAAAATGTTGCTATGCAGCACCTTCCCGTCCTCCGAAATCTCCACCAGCACTTGTTGTAACGCAGTAGCTTGAAAACAGCGCTCTTAGTCTGAACAACGATGCGGTTCTAGTGGACTGTGTCCCGCGCAGACAAGCAACTGATGGAATTCGGATATACGCGCCCGATTGACTTAGTCGACCAACGGTTCTTCTTTACTGTACGGAAACTAACAGAGATTCCACCACCACTCGCGAATGGAGAAAGAGAGAAGGAGAAGACAATTGTCTTCCGCGAAGTGTTTACTACTCAAGTGAGACGAAGACGAAGGTTGACACGGTGTTTTTCTCAGGCTAGCATTTATATCACGGTTTTCCTTTTTATCAGGAGAGCGGCGTAGTCGTTAAACGGCAGATAGAGGAAGGTGGTAATCAGAATGACGTAATTAACACCTGAAAACGGTATCACAAAGAGGATTATGCAATCGGCGACCTGTTAACAGCATCTCTTGGTAAGAGAGTGAGAGTTGTCAGCTGATAGGGTTGTGATCGATAACTGCCAAATGGTAAGATTGTCGCCGATAACGCATCGCGTAAGCTTTCCATGACAACACGACTGGAAAAATTGGAGGATGGGAAAAGGTATTCAGCGTGACGTTTAGAAGGACCATGATGTCTCCACAACAGTATTCTTCGAGCGACAGATAGATGCGACTGACACACTACAAAACTTAAGCTTCAACGAGCGGAGCATTAGAGCACTGTAAACGCTGACCACATACATGACAATCACACAACCATTCACCACTCGCGCAATGAAAGCGTGTCCGATGATGCAACGTGACATGCGGATTGCCTGCAGTTAACGACCAGAGATGGGGCGATCAAACGGATTTGATAAGGTTATCATCATTACGCACACGTTAACTGGAGGTGAGTACCATCTCAGTCAATGCGACAAAGCACAACTTGATTAGATTGTCGTAAAAATGAAAAAACAAGAAACACCATGTCATTTCTTCATTACACACCAAGAATGGGACCATGGTTAGAGAGGGAGCTAAAGGTGAGGTAGACAAAGAAACTGACAACATCAACGCCACTGAAATCGACGCCTTGTATTGCCAAGAAGTGGCGTAAACCAAGAAGGCGGCCCCGTTTCAGGGAACAAACCACGTACCTAAATGCATGTTACTTGTGGACACGTCAGTGGTGGCACATCGCCTTCGCAATTAGGAGGTTGGTTGCTAGTGCCCAATTCAATCAGGAAAGTCTCACAAGCCAGCAGTTGCCACGTACCACAGACTTAGTGGTAAACTTCTGGAGCAAGGTAAACTTTCATTGGTCGTGGATACAGTGAACGGAAAGAGCAGTCTCATAACGGTGCATTCGGTAAACAGCACGTCTGAGCGGCTCTGCTGAAGAAATTCGTCTGTGCAGATTCGTCGCATTTAGACACAGGGAGACAGCCACCACACATCCAGCAAAGCGCTAGGCGGCCGTTTCGTTCTATTGGGACTCGTCAGTAGCGCGCACCCGCCGAATCCTGCCGGATTCGAACCCACGACCTTACTCTTGCGAGTCAGCGACTTATGTCACTGAGCTATGGGCGACGGCAGGGGACCACCATGACTGATATCTAACTGCGATATAGCGTGGCTCATCCTCCACTGTCTTGCATGTTATGAATGTGCAGAGGACAGGGCTGGCCCCTAGAGCAACGAGTTCCTTTGCAAGCCGCCACCAATCGAGGTGGCATGTAAGCTGCTAAGGCGACTACTAATTATTCGTAAGTAGTAGAGGGATTTATTAGGTTTTGTGTAGATTCGTCGCAATTAAACACAGGCAGACAGCCACCACACATCTAGCAAAGCGCTAGACGGCCGTTTCGTTCTATTGGGACTCGTCAGTAGCGCGCATCCGCCGAATCCTGCCGGATTCGAACCCACGATCTTACTCTTGCGAGTCAGCGACTTATGTCACTGAGCTATGGGCGACGGCAGGGGACCGCCATGACTGACATCTAACTGCGATATAGCGCGGCTCATCCTCCACTGTCCGGCCAAGGAGGAGTGGGGCATACGATGGGTGCTGACAGAAAGATAAGACTATGAAGAGTACTGCCAACTTGATTGAGGTGAAGCTGTGAGAAACAGCGCCCATCTTGAACAATGGATACATGGTGTTGGTGTGCTGGTATGTACTAGTGATGCGTTGCTGTTGTGATGAGAATCGAATTTCTTAATTAAAAGTAACTCTGCGATCCGATTAGGTGGGAAACAATAAGCCGGCAATAAGATAAAGCTTGATAGTAAGATACCAATATAAAATGTCCTGCTGATAGCTCACGTTGAAACAACTGCTTGTCGGTGTGATACAGGAACGCCAAACCGGAAGCCAAATGTGGTTCCAGTGATTCCATCGCTTCGACCCAGCTGAAAAGGAAGGAAGAGGAGATCAGGAAATCAATGTGCAGCTGGTTGGCCATACAAATTCGAAAGCAGAAGCGAAATGGGGCGGAGAAATAAGTGAGGGTATGGCTATCACGCCAAAGTAGCTAACAAGCAAAACGGACGAAAAGCACATGGAGAGTGATCCCTTCCCAGCTGCTATATTTGGCATAATTTTAAAGTAGGCTTTATATGGAAATATTAGTAACCATTCAATGCCAAGGAATAACCTTGGATGCGACTCAGAATTCATAATTTTGAGATATTAAGTAAGCAAATCGGTTTCGCAGATGCTTGTATTGTGGCTACGCTTCGCTCTTGACGCAAGAAGCTTGACCTGAAAAGTGGAACGTAGCGACAACACAAGCATCTACAAGACCGACTTTATTCTGTAGGTTCATCGAGTGGTCGTTGTGCACTTAACAAGGGTTACAGTGGTCGATGTAGCTAAGCGTGAACTCTAAGAAGGCTAAGCAATAAAGTTGCAAAAAAAACAACATACTATCTCGCGTCATATCCCACACCTAATATACACAGAGAAAAAGAAGCTGACAGCGGATTCTCCAACTCCAACTTTGAAGAAGCTGACTGCTTAAATGTTACATAGCGGAAACAAACATGGAACCGGTGGGACAACGAAAGTGAGATTGGAACACACGCTGCCAAAAGTGATCGGGAAAGGTGAATCGTAGTTAAAGCCTCATGGGAGACTGTCATTCAGTGGAAAATTAGTACACAAAATCAAGACAAAAACGAAATCACTGGGCAAAAGAGGGTTGCGCAGATGGATAATTGATTGGCAAAGCGTAAAAACCGTGACGGAACGAGGGACGAGCAGAGTACTGGATAGACGCCTATGCAACGTTTGCCGCTGAAAATCCCTCAGTCGACATGCCCCAAATAAGTAAAGAACATGACAACGGGAAAAGTCACAAGGTTGCCGACCATAAATAAGTAAGGGTAAAGGCATGCCAAATGAACGGGGGCAATGGGGGGGAGGAACACAACAGAGCACATTGGCCATTGCGTTAGACAGCAACTCAAATAGAACAGAAAGGGAATAATTAGACTAAAGATTCCGGAAAAATATTCGCAAGATTATAAACGGAAAACGGATTCCACGCTTGGTGAGGGGGCTAATGTGTCCTCAGCACGGTAGTAACGTGCCAGTTAGTGGATAGTGAACGGCACTATATCACATTAACAGTGACCTAATCACGACGGTCGTTCCCGTCCCCTATAGCTCAGTGGTATCAACCCCAGACTAGAAACAGTCGAGTTGCGGGTTCGATGTAATGTGCACTGCTGACAATTTCCAGAAAAGACCATACGGCCGTACAGTGCCTTTCTGGGGGTGTGGACTGTATGACTGGTTTTAGGTGCGATGAATATCTATCTATACCCTTCAACTCCCACAAACACTTGCTTGTAAACGGAAAAATGTAAAACGCTCACCAACAGGAATACCGTATATACCCACTGTCCGCAGCTAAGCCGGATGCATTGAGATCGCCAGTAAGAATGGGTGTTCGTTTACGGAAGAACCGATACCAAAAACACATTTTTAGCAGTAGTCGACCAGTAGCCACTGTGCGATGCGTACATTTCATCAAATAACAACTCACATCCTCCAGTAAAAGTCAACTGTCGTCCCGGTGAGGTTAAGGTGCCGTGTAATTACAATCATGTGTTGCCAACGACTCATGTTTTCGCTGTATGTAAAGCACGATCAAATGTTCGGTGCAGCTTACTTCTAACACTGCACCAGGCGGACGTCTTCCGCAGTGTTTGTACTATTCAGATAAGTAGCGCAAGTGCTTCAGAAACCTCGTACCCCCACATGTTGTTGTCACGCGACCATTAGCAATTGTTTGTGTCAAGGATAATGCTGGATCGACCGCACCTATGCAGACTGAGCCTTGTAGATAAGAAGCTATAGACCTGAAACATTTGGTCGCCGGCTGATAGATGTCAACAATACGCAAGTGCATTATGAGGACACTTCGTTGTAGTGCAAGTGAAGCCGAATGTACGCGGGTTAGAATGTTGCAGGGGAACTCAAACGCAAGGACTCTGATCCAGGGCTTTGGGCCGAACAAGAGTAGAGCAGATGGAACCGAAGCTGGAATTCGAACCTAGAAAGGTGGGGCATAAGGTTGCGACACATCACCGGAATCCGCACAAACGCTAATCGGCAGACTTAAGAATACAATGTTCCTTTTCTTACTTACTCGTCGTGGGCATAGGCTGAGAGATGGGATTCGAAATCGGACCACAATTAACTTTGGGGTGAACTTTGATCAGTTGGTTAGAGTCTTGAAATTGAGATATAACTGTTTTCTGTGATGCAGAGTCAAATTATCGGTGACAGTATTGCTCCCCACAGAAGCGCTGGAGATAAGCTAGTCGAATAGATCCTAGTGAATACGCATTAGTGCAGGTTTCGAATTGGAACAGATGCAAGGACTGCGCGGTAACCTACGTATGTGGTGAGCGTTTTAATGCTCCGCTACGCTAAGAAACCGACAGAGATCCGAAGTATAAAAAACAGATTTTATCTGGAAACATTATAGCGTTGCTCATCCCAACACTGATACCCAACGACAGCGGTTTCACCATGGTTTGGACTCATCAGGTGGAGATAGCCTGAGTTGGGCTGGAATTCAGAGCCTAGTGGCTCATGGTTGACGCCATAAGCACTATGCCACTGAGATCCGCGAGCAACGGATTTTATCTGCAACCCACATACGCCCCATCATTGTAACCCAGAAACAGAAGCGGTATCTTCAGTTGGAGGCATGAATGCGAAGATAGGTCAAATATCCAATGTCGAAAATGATTGGGAGGCCATTTCTAAAGTAAAATTTCTCATTCCCATTATAAAAATGTTTTTTGGTCATATACCCAAACCTCCAACAGTAGATCATACTACGAACACGCTGGAGAAAGATTGTGATAGTCTATCGAGAAAGGCTTGAACGGAACATGAGCTCGACTGTAGAACGGCGATTTCGTCCACTTTCCCTAAGTCTGTAGGTCGATCAACCGGTAGAACTTTTAAGCTGGCTCGCCGAACAACCACATGGTGCTAACTGGGTGGTTTATCATCATCATTATCATCATCGTCACCATCATCATCATCATACACGTTAGCTGCAGATGGAAAACATCTCAGACAACAAGAAAAAGAATAGCACAGTAGTTAGCCGGCTGAGTCCCCAGTAACGGATGGACATCGTTTCGGAGAGCAGGCCGGCTATCGTGTCGCGAAAAAGAGAGTTATATTATACCTAAGGAATAAGATCGTAATTGGAAGGGGGATGGACAAGGAACTCATAACACAAAGGTCATTGGGGCCGGCTCTTCGCCATATCAGCAAGTGTGTCCAAGCAAACGTGTTCACCGTCATTAGGATCCCAGCCACGCAGTAGGGATGCGCCAACCGACGCCAGTTTCGAAGTGAGGGTTTTCATTCCCCTCGACCAAGTCAACGCTTAGCCTCCCGTCCTCCTCTTCCAACCGCACCCCCGGCGCGTAAACAATGCATGTCGCGGGAGTCGATGTGCTGGTATGCGCAACATGTGGCCCAGCTATCGGAGCCTGGTGAGTGATATAATGGTGCTGAGCGGTTCACTCGCTCTTCCTGCACCAAAACCGAGATGCCGAACACGCTCATTGCTCACGTGGTGCTCCCACCAGACATGAGCTAATCTGCGAAGGCAGCGATGATCGAATGTGAGGAGTCGTTTTATCACTGTCGACCTGATAGGCCAGGTTTCACAGTCATATAGGAGAGTTGAACAGACGGCTGGGAGAGTGATGTGGTGTCTGTGGCACAGGTGGCGGAGATTGGTAAAAGCACCTCGAGCTTTTGCAATACATTTTGTAACCTCAGCTTTGATCCCACGGGCGCTAATATAGCTGCCACGTAGTTGAATTCCTGAACGACTTCTAGCTGATCAACACCAAGGGTTAGCACAGGGGTGGGTGGCTGTGAACCTTGAAGAAGTACTTTGCATTTCGATGGAGCAAAGCATAGCCCAAAACGATTGATAGCCAGTGCTAATTGGTCCAGTGCTGCTTGACATGTTTGGGCGCTGTCACATATGAGGGCAATGTCGTCCGCATACTCCAAGTCAAGAAGTCGCTCACCAGGAAGTAGCTCCACACCTTTTAGGTCGTGTTCAGTGAACGGTGTTTCCATGACTCCATCAATAGGGAAGTTAAAGAGGAAAGGTGACAACGCGCATCCTTGTCTCACACCGCTGGAGATACTGAAAAGCTGCGACAGTTTGCTATAAATCCTCACTTTGCCCGAATTATGCGCGCACAGCGATTTGATAATGATTACATATTTATCGGGCACACCTTTCCTCAGCAGACAGTCCCAAAGGGCACATCGATCCAACGAATCGAAGGCACCTTTGATGCCGAGGAACACGACTACGGTGGGTCGCCAATAAACATGGTGGTGCTCCAACGATTGAAGCAAAGTGAAGATGTAGTCGATACAGCCACGATTTCGACGAAACCCAACTAGCTCTTCGCGAATCTGACCTTCACCAGCGTCAGTCAGTCTGTGGAGAGCGACAAAGGCAAGCAATTTAGAGGCAATTGAGATCAAACTGATCCGTCTATGTATGCCGCATTCCGAACGGAAGCCTCCCTTGAAAATTGGGACTATGACGGAGCGAATCCCGTCTGTCGGGACGGTTTCTTGCTCCCAAAGTTCCATTAGCAACTCGTGTAAATCATGCACAAGAGCAGATCCCTCGAATTCGTAGAAAGCTGGAGGAATTCTATCTGCACCAGTGGCCTTATGCAATTTCAACAATCTGAACTCGCGTTCGACTTCTGCGTTTGAGAGCGGACCTAAGGAGATGGCCCGCGGAGAAGGGCACTCAATGCCCGAAAGAGAACGAGATAGCTCAGAGTGCTTAAACTGCCTTTCAGTTTTCGACCCAACGCTGCGAGCGTTTTGAGAA